TTTCGTCGCTTGGCAACGACGTTGTAAAACAAGCTCATTCGCTTCGTGAGTTCGGCAACCAGGTTACCCTTTCATTTTTCTTGCCTCTGTTTTTTTTTTTGGCGGTAACCATAATGGTGGTCGAATGCGTCATGTTGTGCGGGATGGAAAAGCTTCACTCCGCGCAAGGGGGATGATCGCACCACGTTGTGTTAAAATGGTCAAGCACCCTCGAGGCAGTTACACAGTGCTTACAACTGTCTCTGGAAGTGAAAGCACCAGAAAATAAATTAAGTCATACGCAGCTGTCATCCGTACGCAAGGAAGTAAGCACAAGATGCCGAACACCCTTAGCAGGATGCAGCGCACCCTTCATGCGACTCGCCGAATATCTCACGGCGCTTCGCGCTTGGTGATTTGGTCCTGTGGTCCTGTGAGAACCCGGCGTGCTACGTACCGGCTTTGTAGGGATGCGAGGTCAATGGACTAACGACGACGGCATGCACGACTATGACGACTATGAGTACACCCCCCCTCCCCCCCGGTGTTTACCATCGGGGTTGGGTTTTCGTCGGTTGGCAACGACGTTGTAAAACAAGCCCCCCCCCTCGATGTTTGCCATCGGCATTGGGTTTTCGTCGCGTGACAACGACGTTGTAAAACAACCATTTCACTTCGTGAACTCGGCAGCCCGGTTACCGTTTCTTTTTTATTCTTACCTCGATTTTTTGGCGGTAACCATATTGGTGGTCGAGCAGATCATGTTGTGCGGGGTCGAGAACCCCCACTTCGCGCAAGGGAAATGGTCGCACCACGTTGTGTTAAAATGGTCAAGCACCCCCGAGGCAGTTACACAGTGCTCACAACTGTCTCTGGAAGTGAAAGCATCATAGCATAAATTAAGTCATACGCAGCTGTCATCCGTACGCGAGGAAGTTAGCACAAGATGCCGAACACCCTTAGCAGGATGCGGCGCAACCTTCATGCGGCTCGCCGAATACCTCACGGCGCTTCGCGCTTGGTGATGTGAGAGCCTGGTCCGGTGAGAACCCGGCGTGCTCCGTCCCGGCTTTGTAGGGATGCGAGGTCAATGGTCTAACGACTACGGCATGCACGACTATGAGTACACCCC